GGTTCAGTGGCTCTCAGACACCTGTAGTTGTTCAGGATTTCTGTTAAATAATCTGGAGATTTTTAAAACTCACCACTGCTAACAACAAACACAGGAACATGTGTAAACACAGGAGTGTGTGTATCCTGAGGAGACCTTTGCAGGCACAAAGGGAAAGTTGTGCACTGAGCCAAGTATTATCTAATAATTCAGCTACAGTCCCCAAAGCCCAAAGCTCTGAATTCCCAGAATCACAGGCTGGTTTGGGGGGGAAAGGACCTTAAAAGTATCTTGTTCCATCCCCCCACCATGGGGGACCACCTTCCACAGACCCAGCTGCTCCAAGCCCTGTCCAACCTGGCCTGGAACACCAACGAAATCCTAAAATTCCTGGTTTGGGTGAGAAGCTGCACACTGTTAAAGATGCTTTGACATTCTCATATTTTTGAATGCATGACCTGGTTTGGCTGTTGGACATAGAGCCTGGTGCCCCCTGCCCCAGGGAACAGCTCTGGAATTTTGGGCAGCACGGGGGGTGATAGTTCTGAGGAGTGTCTGTAGGAAAAGGAGCCATAAACCCCACACTGAGCCCTGCTGTGACTCAGCACCGAGGGAGGAGCTGTTTGCTTTGGCACAGCATCCCATCAAACCACAGGAGCTTCCTCAGGCCGAGATCTTCGGTGTCAGAGAGATTTATGTGCAAAAAGGCTTCCTCAGCCTTTTCCCAGCAGTTTACAGGAGATGGTGCACGAGCCCAATAAAATCCGAGTGGGACAGAGCCCAGAGAACTTTATAACAACACATTCCTTAGCACATGGAGGGATTAAAGAACTGTTTGTGTGGCTGTGTGTGGCAGACCCTGCATCACACGCTGTTAGTGCATGCTGGGGGCAAAGCACAGGGTTTTCCTTTCAGAAAATGGGGAATAGCATAATGATGGTGGAGTAAAAAAATGTATTTAATGGCGTTAAACGCGGTTCCGGCTCCGTTGCAATTTTGAAGCGTCTTCAGCAAAGGCAGTAATAACTCAGGAGAGCTGAACCCTGAAAGCTAATCGTTGTTTCATGGCAATATTTACTGTCCTGAGTGCTCAGTGCACTTGATTGATCTGGGCAATGCAAAGGGGTGAGGCCACAAGCACAACAATTTTATGGCCCCCATAAAGCCCCGCACGCATTTTGCTCCATTTTCTGCTGTTAAACCTGGAGTTTGGGATCATATGGCACTTTAAGTGCCTTGATTTATGGGCAGACAGCAATTGCATGTGTAATAAACATCCTAAAGCAGGAGTTTAAGAGCAATCTCCTGTATTTATTTGTGACATAAACACTCACCTGCAATGCACGTGGGAATCATCTGGGGCTTAACTCGCAGGGAACATCTCAGCCATTAAGCTCCAGGCACAGCAAGGTTGTATCCAAGGTGAAGATGGAAGGGACTGGGAAGAAAAGGGTGGCATGGCAAATAGAAATGGAAAAATCTCCTTTTTCTGCTGTTTAAATATTCCAGTACATCACTGTAATTTTTTACTCTCCTGATAAACTGTACCAAATAAATTACAATCCCAGTCTTGTTTAATATGAAATATTTAAGCACACGGCCATGAAAAGAACGCGAAAATCACACTGACACCTTTGAAAATAAATACAATAAAATTGCAGGTGTTTCAGGTTTGTGGAAAATCCCTCCAGAATGACTGAAAGCACAGAAACCCTTCGTGGCACTGGAACCTGCCCAGCTCTGCTCCACATGAGGAATCCTCCCCGTTACATTGGCTGTTTTGGTGCCAAATTAATTATCCTCGGTGGATGATTAGGAGTAACAGAAGGTAACAATTTTTAAATGATTTAAGTAGCTTTTAAAGTAACTTAAATAGTTTAATCCTTCCTTCTTTGCATATCTTTGTATGATAGTAATAGAGTGTGGGAGAGTGGCATTAATGTAATTGATACTATTAAGAAGGAATGACAAGGATTCATGGACTTTAACACTCATCCATTTATTTCTTAAGAATATGAAATTCACTTAGAATAAGCAAATTCAGATGGATTTCTGGTCTCCCAGGAGCAGGAAGAAGAGAGGACAAAAAAAATCCAAGACTTAATGAAACCACGAGCTTGAAGTTTTCAGGGTGACAAAGACTTAAATAAAAAAGGCAAATTCAGGATTCTTGAGTTTAAATAATAAAATGAGAGGGAGATCTGAACAATATTCACCCTCTGAGGTTGTAAGGGCTGCCATGGCTTTGTCTCACTGTTTTTACAGGAAAAGGAGGGAGATTCTGTCATTTTATGTTTGTTACACATTGATACAGGAGTGACCCACTGAATTTCTTCCAGTGAGGAAGCCTTGGACTGTAATGCTACAGAGAGTTAATAGACTTAAGTGGGACTAGAAGATCATAAACCAGTGCTTAAAATCCTCCTGGTAACGTGGCAGAGAGTCAGGATGCCATTCTAGGCTGACTATTTATTTTTCCAGGAATCCTTTGTCATCCCATTTGGCACAGACAAATTGTCAGAAGCACTCAAAAGTACTTTTGCAGAGTGAATTTTTGGGTCTTTAGTGTACAAAACTCTGTGACAAAAGCACACGGGATGAAATCCTGATCCCCAAGGCAGCCTGAAAGATTGTGGAGATTTTGGTTAATTGATTAAATCAAATCAAGCCAACAAGAGCTTTGGTGAGGACATCCCTAAAGCCTCCAAATGCTCGTCACTTCCATGCTTCCCATTGGCACACAAAGCTGAATCCTGCCCAAAATATTATCATCCCACATCAGAAATAGCTATTTAATACGTTTGTTCACTGTGTGGTTTTGCTTTTCCTGTGGGGTGAAAAAGCCTTTTTGAGACTCAGAAGATAAAAATCTGCTTTTCTGGATCTTCCTTTAAATAAAGGATAAAACTGCTCACAAGTTAAAGGAGAGAATGTCTGTGGGATCCTGTTGCCAAAGTCACTTGTCACTGCCCATATGAGTTACATGTTAGCTTGGTTTGAAATTCATATGGGAATATCATAGTTCAAAGAATAAAATCAAAGTATTAATCAAAGTAGTGTTAAAGACAATGATAAAGCATCAAAAAGTGTGCGTTAGGTGCCTTTTTCAGCTTCAGCTACCAATTCTCTATATTTACCTTCTCTCTGCTTCTGAACTGACTTCGAAAATAGTACCAAGGATTATTTTTTTGATGATAATATTCTGGCACTCTACGAATTGAAGTTTAACTTTGCTGGGTGCAACAGCCTGGAATAATTGGTCTAATTAGCCAGGAAACAACCCTACATTTAACCTCCATCCACAAGCCTTTGCTAGATGTAACTTTTCTTTCCGAAGTTATCCCTTTTATCTCTGTAAATAAATTGTAATTATAAAACTCCAGGTGCCCTGCAGGTCACAAATTACCTTTGAGCTCCCTCAAGTGGCAGCGAAACCCTCGAGTTTTTGTAACAGAAATACAGGAGGTGGTTATAGAAACTCTCAGGTTTGTAACAGAAACCCTCGAGTTTGTAACAGAAGTACAGGAGGTTGTTACAGAAACTCTCAGGTTTGTCACAGAAACCCTCGAGTTTGTTGTTCAGCCTGTTTTCCCAGGAAGCCTTGTAATTTAAAACCATGTTTTTCAGAGCCTGAGTAAAGTGAAAGAGCTGCCTGGATTTCATAGAATCTAAACCAGCACTTGGAAAGGTGACCCACTAATTTAGTAACATAGTTCTCTTTTGACAGGTCTCTGAAAAGACACTTACTGAGTGAAAAGAAGCATTTTATGCCCAGTAGGAGTTTTCAGCTCGTTCACTACACAATTCCAGCGTGTTTTGAGAAGTTATTTTGACCTTCTCCTGTGGTTCCTGATCAAATTGATTACAGAGTAGCTGGAAAGTGGATGTCTTGGTTCAGCATCTCAGGTAAAACTCAGCCCTTTCTGCCCCCCCGAAAAGGAAAAGAAATCCTTGGGCTTAAATCACAAGGATTTCTGCCTCGTTAAGAGTGTATTTGATTCAAAAAGAGTGTATTTTAAATAAAAGTACTTGATGACGTACACACGGGAGTCAGGTCATCTTTGGTGCAAGACGAAATTTGGTGGAGGGTCGGCCCTTTTTACAGTGAATTGGTATCTTTTTCAAGGGTTTGGATAACATGGGAAGAACCTTTTGGAGCAAACAGCTCAAGTAAAATGCCTTTGGAGAAGAGAAGGTTGTGTGGAGACCTCAGAGCAGCCTTCCAGTGTCTGAAGGGGCTACAGGGAAGCTGGAGAGGGACTTTTGGTCAGGAATGGGAGTGATGGGGCAAGGGGCAATGAGTTCAAACTGAAAAGGAGTAGGTTTAGATGGGATATTGGGAAGGAATTCTTGGCTGAGAGGGTGAGGGGGCCCTGGCACAGGTTGCCCAGAGAAGCTGTGGCTGCCCCTGGATCCCTGGAAGTGTCCAAGGCCAGGTTGGAGCAACCTGGGACAGCGGAAGGTGTCCCTGCCCATGGTTGGGGGGGTTTGGAATAGCAGCACCTTTAATGTCCCTCCAACCCCAACCAAAGTCTGTGATTCCACGACTTTAATATCCAACGGAAGGACGACGGAGCAGTTTCACGAGCTTTTGCATTTCCCTGGATGTTTATTGCAGTCTGGACCTCAAAAACTTTCCCTTTTCGTATATTTATTTATTCATTCATTTATTTGTCCATCCGTTTACTAATCCGTTTATCTGTCCATACACTTATTTATTTATTTAACATTTATTTATGTAATATTTATCCAACAGTTATTTATTATTGATTTATTCAATATTTAATCAATATTTATTATTATTTATTTATTTATTTATTTAATGTCTACGTATTTAGCATTTATTTATTTATTTATTTAATATCTATGCATTTAACATTTATTTATTTATTTATTTATTTATTTATTTATTTATATATTTATTTATATATTTATTTATTTCGGTTCCCCCTCCCGTAGGCCTCACCCCCCGCCCCCGTTGCCATGGGAACCGCGCACGTGACGCGTCGCTCACGTGCCCCCCCCTCACGTGACCGGGCAGCGATGGCGGCGGAGGAGCAGCGGGCGCTGCTGGAAGGGGAGGGGGACGGAGGTGGAGATGGGAATGGAAATGGGGGATCCCAGGAGCCCCCCCGCAACCTGCCCGCCGCCTGCGACCCCCGCCGCCTCCCGCACCGCCTGATCGTGCTCTCCCTCATGTGCTTCCTCGGCTTCGGTGCGGGACCGGGGGGGGGGGGGCCGCGGGTGGGGGGCCGGGGGGGGGGGGGCTCGCGTTTGGGGTGCCGGGGTGGAGGAGGCTTGGATTTGGGGTTTGAGGTCGTGGGGAGTGCTTGGGTGTGGGGGGCTCGAGTTTGGGGTGCCACAGTTGGGGAGGGTCGAGCGTGGGGAGTTGAGTTGGGGTGCCTCGGGTCTGGGGGGACTTGGGGTGCTCAGGTGTGGGGTGCTGGGTGGGGGGGATGCTCGAGTTGGGGGTTGAGGGTGGGGGTGCTTGGGTTTGGGGAGCTCGGAGTTTGGGGGGCTCAGGTTTAGGGTACCGGGGGTTTTGGGGGGCTCCGGTGTGGGGACTCGGATTTGGGGTGCCAGGGTGGGGATGCTCGGGTTTGGGATGCTTGGATTTTGGGTGAGGGTTGCTCAGGTGCGAGGGACTTGGGTTTGGAGTTCGGGGTAGGGGGTGCTTGGGTTTGGGGTTTTTGGGTTTGGGATACTCGAGTGTGGAGGGCTTGGGTTTGGGGTGCTGGGGTCTGGAGTTTGGGGTGTCGGGTTTGGGGAGTGTTCAGGCTTGGGGGGTGCTCGGGAGTGGTGGTAATGTTTTAAATAAAATAAAATAAATTAAACGTAGGTACATGTCTGTACTCCAAGGCAGGGTTTGGGGGGTGCTGGGTCAGGGTGCTGGGTCTGGGGTGCTGGGTTTGGGGTGCCAGGGCGGAGCTCTGAGCTGTCCCTTCTCCTCCCAGGCAGCTACTTCTGCTACGACAACCCTGCAGCTCTGCAGACACAGGTTCAGAGGGTGAGTGACTGTCTGGGGGCTTAAAGGGGGCTTCTAAAAATGAGAGACAGTGACCAGGAATTCTTGGCTGGGAGGGTGGGGAGGCCCTGGCACAGGTTTTGCCCAGAGAAGCTGTGGCTGCCCCATCCCTGGAAGTGTCCAAGGCCAGGTTGGAGCAACCTGGGCTAGTGGAAAATGACCCTGATGTTGAACAAAATAGATTTTAAGGCTCCCTTCAACCCAAACCAATCTGGGATTCTGTGAAGGACAGGCAGTGGCCAGGTCAGAAAGTTCACTTGTTTCTGTGTGGTTGTGCTCAGATCCTTACTCTGTATCCCTGCAATTGCCTTAAAAGTCATCACTTCTTTTAATTCCCCCTCCATCCTGCAGGACATGAAGGTGAACACAGCCCAGTTCATGGCTCTCTATGCCTGGTATTCCTGGCCCAATGTGGTTCTTTGCTTCTTTGGAGGTTTTCTCATAGACAGAGTGTTTGGAATACGGTGAGTGTGAGGTTTTTGTCACTCCTGTTCCATGGTTTTGCCAAACCAAAAGTGCACGTGGCCTTTAGGCTTTATAATACAAAGGTTTTGTAAGTTACAGTGTATTTTTTCCCAGATGATTTAGGAATTTCCACCAGTATAAATGAGCTTCCTTCCCTTTATGGCTTAAATAAATTGGCTCCCAAAACACCAGGCTGTGTTTTCTAAGGAAAATGTTGAGCTGTTCAATTTATTACAGAGACCTTTTATTGTTGTTTCCCTGCTGTAGGTCTAGCATAGTGTTTTATAGGAAAAAAAAAGACTCCAACTCTGCATTAAGTGATTTTATTTCTCTTCCAGGTTGGGCACTATAATATTCAGCATCTTTGTGTGTGTTGGGCAGGTGAGTGCAAAGGATAATCTGGGTCTGCAGGGTGTGTTCATTAGGCAGGTGAGGAGACCTGAAATGGGAGAGCTCTGAGTTGTATTGGCTTGAAAAATGAGTGAAATAACGAGAAAGAACCAAATGTTTTATGTGTTTGATCTGAAACTACCACGGAGGTGTATTTTGGTAAGTCTGATAAAGGTGATTTGAGCCCTAGAGGTGTTTTCTGAGTGCAGTCAAGGCTGGGCCAGGTTGGATATTGTGTTGCCAGCAGGATTTTGAATAAGGCAGAAGGAGCAAAGCCAAAAAAAAAACAGGAGTAGGAAGTGGGTGTGAAGTCATTTTGCAGGTCTGTGAGGGGAGAAGCATTTTTGTTCCTGTTTAAGATAGTCCTGTTTTATCCCATATTGAATGGCACAGTTATAATGTTTCCTCACATGTGTGTTTGCAGGTGGTTTTTGCTCTGGGAGCCCTGTTTAACACCTTCTGGCTGATGGACGTGGGCAGGTTCATATTTGGGTAAGTGGAAAAGAGCACATTTGTGCTCCCTGAGGTGAGCCCCCTCTTTGTGTCCCACAAAACTGCTGCCAGGTTGACACTTGGAACCAAAACTGTTGCATTTTGAGGCCTCTGTAAAGCCGAGCTTCAGTGGCATTCCTGCTGTAACTTAAAGTTAGAAAACATAAAAATAGGACTTTGCAAGTCTTGCAGTTGTAATCACTCCTAGAATACTTAAAATCCCTTATACTTTTAATTACTCTGAAGGCACTGCAGTTCTGTTTGGAATTTTGATTTGCCTTGCCTTGTGTCTGTGCATTAAATCGACCTGCACACACTTAAATTTCTCTGAAATTCGGCCACCTTGGGCCTGCCAGCAGCTGATGGACCTTGTTGCTTTGCCTGCTGCAATTCATGTGTTTTCTTTTGCAGGATTGGTGGGGAGTCCTTGGCAGTGGCCCAGAACACCTATGCAGTGAGCTGGTTTAAAGGCAAGGAGTTGAACTTGGTGTTTGGGTTACAGCTCAGCATGGCCAGAGTTGTGAGTGTCCAACTGCGCCTTTAATTTATGGGATTGGAGGCTGTGGGGTCATCAGGGCAGGGAGGCAGGTGGAAAACAGCATTTCTGGTGCTCCCCAGGGAGTTGGAGTTACAAATGAAATGTAAACTGTTGAAGATTTGAGGTGAACAGAGGAGACACAAGGAAATGGGTTAATGGGGTGTCTCAGAACCTGTCAGGAGGCTCGTGGTGATCTCAGGGTGGGACATGGACCTGATGGAGGAGTCCAGAGGAGGCACCAGGATGATCAGAGGGATGGAGCTCCCTGAGGAAAGGCTGGGAGAGTTGGGATTGTTCATCCTGGAGAAGAGAAGCCTCAGGGTGACCTGATTGTGGCCTTTCAGGACCTGAAGGGAGCCAACAAGATGGAGAGAGACTATTTACAAAGAATAGAGGGACAGGACACAGGGAATGGCTTCAAAGTGCCAGAGGACAGGGTTAGATGGGATATTGGGAAGGAATCCTTCCTGTGAGGGTGGGGAGACCCTGGCACATGTTTCCAGAGAAGTTGTGGATTCCTTATCCCTGGAAGTGCCCAAGGCCAGGTTGGAGGGGGCTTGGAGCAACCTGGGCTGGTGGGAGGTGTCCCTGCCCATGGCAGTGCTGCATTTCCCCTGACTAATTGCTCCTTGGCATGTCATAAAATGTTGGTTTAACTGAGTGTAGCTTGAGGCTCAGGGACTACTGCAAGCTCTGATGAATGATTTGAGGTGCTGCTTTAAGAAGCTCCAATCTTTATGGCAGTTGTAGGATGGTTTTGTCCCCGTTGCTGGTTCTGGTAGGAACTGTGTGACAGCATCTCATCCTGCTTTGGTTTGATGTAATCACTTAAACAGCTGCCAGAGCTGGTTTTATAGCTGGGTTTACACTGACAGACCAGCTGAGAGAGGAGAGTGGAGTTGTGCCTCTTTTTTGGGGTTGTTTTCAGCCCCCTGAAGCCCTGCAGATGTTTTGTATCTCCTGGGTAAGGAGTGAGCTGGTCCCAGCTGGGCTGGTCCCTGTTCAGGCTGTTGCTCCTCAGCAGTTCCCTCATCCCAGCTGAGCTGGAGTTACCTGCTGTGAGCCCTGGGATTGCAGCCATGGATCCCTTCTCTGGGGGCAGGAGGAGGGGGGAAAAAAGTGCTTCTTCCTGGTGCCTGTGAGGTGGGAATCCTGTTTGCTCTGATATATTAAATTCAGCCCCATTTAGGAGCTCAGGCACTGTGTGAGGTGGGTTTTATGGCACTTCTAAACTCCTCCTGGAAACACTGTAATAGTTGGGTAACATTTAATTAGTGATGGTTTATTATTGTTACAGTGATTACTTTGTTACAAACCAGCAGGGAATAATTTCATCCTTGTTCCTGCTGTTTAAGTTCCCTGTTTAGCATCTTACCTGTTCAATAAGCAGCTCTGCCTGATGTTCCTTTTGATTTAATATAATTGTGAAATCAATTATTCCTCACCTGAGTCTGTCCTGCCCAGGGGAGCACAGTGAACATGAACATCATGGGCTGGGTCTACTCAAGAGTTCAAGATCTCCTGGGTCACACTGGTCCCAGCACTCTGGGCTTGGCTCTGATGATAGGTCAGTAATATTTTTGATTTTGGCTTTCTGAATTTGCCCTGTGTGCATGTTGATGGTTTATTAACCACTTGAAAGTAGGACAAGTATATTTGAGAGTGGGGAGAGCAATTCAAATACTGTTCTATCCATGTTTCATATTCTCATGAGTGTGTGGTTACTGCAGCTGTTAAAATGCTGTGGGATTTTTGTGGTTGCCAAATTCAAGTTTGTGCCTCATAGAGATAAAACATTTGACGTGCTCTGAGAGAAGGACAGACTTTAAAAAATGTTGTGAGGGGGATCAGATCTTGTTTGTAGCTGTCTGATGTGTAAAAGTGGGATTTCAAAATCCTCTTGTTGGGAATAAGGCCTGGCTTTGTTTCTGTTGTGTTCTGTGCAGATCAGGAGCTTGCCTGTGCTGAGTGGGTGTGGTGGTAAATGTTTTAAATAAAATAAATGTAACTGCACATCTCTGCTCCAAGGCAGGTGTCTGTCACGGGGGAGGGTCCAGTTTTACACCTTGTTCTTGGGGTTGTTCAGATGCTGAGCCTTGTACATGAGACAAGCTGGGGTTAAACTTTACAGATCTAACAAAAACGACACGATTTGGGCTTGAAAGCCAAATTACACTCGAGTTGTCAACTGACCATGTGGGCTTTCCCTCTTGCAGGGGGTGTAACCTGTCTCTTCTCCCTGACCTGTGCATTAATCCTGGCTTACCTGGACAGGAGAGCAGAGAAACTGCTTTGTAAAGAGCAAGGGAAAACAGGTGAGTGGTGGGGCTGCACCTGCCCTGGGCTTCAATCTTCTGGAGCAGCCCCTTCCAGTTCCTCTGCACTCTGCAGGTTTGCATTTGGGGTAATCCATGGCTGCTGCTGAACATCTGCACTGTTATAATTTATAGTTCATTTTTAACATCTTCCCTGTTATCATTTTTAGTTCATTTTTAACACCTTCACTATTATAATCATAATTTTTAGTTCATTTTTAACACCTTCACTGTCATAATCATAATTTTTAGTTCATTTTTAACACCTTCACTGT